GTGTGGGAGATCCAACTTGTTTTGGGTTTGCCTATTTCGATTCTTTGGATCGAAGAGCAGCTCCCGCCTTCGAAGCCCTTTCGGATCTTGGCAAATTGATTGCCCGCACAGCACCCATGGCCAAGTCCCTGAATGTGGTGCAGCAAAGTGGTAAGTTTGTTTGTTTGTTTCTTTTCCAAAACCACAAAATGCGAGCGAACGTGGTTACCTTGTCAATGTTGCTCACAAAAGCTGGCTTCAGTGCGCTGAGATTCTGAGATCGTTGTGTTTCGCAAGCTTCCAGGAAACGTTGGAGTCTGATGTGTCCGTGATATCCATCAAAGCGAGCCCTTCTCATTTGGCAGGTGTTTCTCAACATCATTATTGATGTTCAGGTCGACTAGATGTGGACCAGCAGCCAAACATGCAATTTTGGTTTGGACAAGCTGAGGTGCTCATTGCTTGTACACAATCAGCCATTCGATTCGATGCATTCAATAGCACAGGACGGCCGGCTCCTTCTGCAAGCACTGCCGGGAGGCCAAAGAGAGGAGAAAGAACCAGTGCCAGAGATGTCGTCAATGTTTTATTTTCAAAATTAATTGATCGCAAGTCAAAAGGCGAGGCGAGTAATGATGGGGAATTGTGTCAGGTCTTTACTTGCGGTTGCATCGTTCACTGAATTTGCTGTGGAGATCTGTGACGCCAGCCCAGCAAGCATAGTCTGTGTTACAATACGCATACTTATGCATACGCAAACTGAAAAACAAACTGAATACTCGAGATACACTCTACAGAGAGGCCGTACAATGCCCTTTTCGCCGGTCTCGGGCCCTGTTGTGATTCGGAGTTTGTCCTCTTTTGGGGTTTTGGACCTTGACAACGGGGTTGCTCTGAGCCTCTAACGACCAACACCCATTGAAGATGTTGCCTCTACCCAAATTTGAAGATGGCCTGTTGACGTTCCTTTTGATTCCCCCCCCAAGGGAAGGAGAGTACCCCAAAAAAGGGTGCCTTGCCTTGGGCATCAGTTTTCTTGGCATTGAAAAGGAAACCAAATGGAATCCACTCATGCCAGCCGGTGAGCTTGAGGCTCCGGCGCTGAGCGCCGATCCTCAAATTCGCTCTTCTCACCCACGACGATGCGAGAGGAGCGTGGATGGAACATGTGTCCCCGCTACCCGATCCAGCTGCACTTTGTGGATTTCAGCTTTTCTGTTGTTTTTGGTGGGTTCCCTGGTAGAATGGGCAATCAAAAGAGGCTTTGTGTTTTGCTTCCAGGGTCTTTGGGCAATTAGGTTTATGATGAGTGCCGAGAATGGCAAACATATATTGATATGTTTTAAGATATATATATACATATATATATATACACATGTTTTTAGAAATGTCGAAAGCCCCTTACTCTGTGATGTCCCTAGAAGGGACAGAGCTCCCCCAGTTTAGCAAACTGTTCGATGTGATGTTGCAGACCCCAAGCAGGGTTGCATTGTTGTTTTGTTTTGGATCTGTAACGGGTGACGCTCACATGTTGTGGGCAGAAGACGTTTGGCGTTAGTACCGCTAGTAGTGAATACATTATTTACCACAGACGTTTGGCGTTAGTACCGCTAGTAGTGCATATTATTTGCCACAGAGCCTCGCCCTTTTGTCATCGTGCGTTTCACCCCGCGGGCGCAGACACATTGGCCCGACAGGCAGAGAAGCCTGTCAGAGGCCTGTGACAGAAAGTGCTGGCTATCAGAACCACACCACAGAAAACGGCTGCATGGCAAATATGTTTGGGGTATATGTATATGTTTGTTCATGTATTGTTGGTTTGCCAACTTCTTTAGAGTTGCACAGTTTGACTCTGACTTTTGTTTTGGATGCCCGCCTGTGCGGCCAGCCATACATATTGCACTCGAATTAGGTGCCTCTTGCAGGCCCTGCAGCAATTCAACGGCGCGCAGAGCGCATTCGCGTCATCGGGCTGGATTTTATTCGGCCTAGAGCGCCTGCCAAACAAATGCCTTTCAGGATTGTTACAGATTCTCCGCCGTGTTTAGGATGTCCACCAAAGGGTGAATTCGAACTCATATACCACGCGCTGGGCGTGTGGAGGTTTGGCGGTCGCGAGGCAATTGGCCACGGCTGGGGCTGCGCTGGGCCACTGCGCGCCACTGGACGCCAGAGGATAGCTCCCCAATCCGCACAGCTTCATGACTCCCGCAAAGAGGCTCCGTCCCAAAGAAGTCTGTGTGATGTTTCTTTTCAACGCGAGCGTTGTGGGTTCCATGTGCTTGTTTGTCCAGGTCCGGAATTAGAAAGGCTTACGCAACCGAGGAGAGGGATTCGTCCGAGGTCACTGGCGCCGGGAGTGCGCGCACACTTGGGCTGCGGAACTGTGTCAGCACAGTTGGCCCGTTTCTCCCCTGCAAATGGGCAAGGAACCCCCAAACAATTATCATTTTGAAGGAATCTCCTTTCGGAAATCCACGATTTGGTTTCTATGTGAATTTGCAAGGGGAGTAATTCAAGAATTCGACCTGCCGGATTTATGCAAGAAACGACAGGAGGGAGTGACGTGACTGGCCTGCATCGCTTCATTTGTGCGGGGAGGGGCCTTGTCCGATGGATGCACGGCCTTGTCCGATTCACATTTGCGACGATACATTGTGGATGGACAAATTCCTGCATTAAATTGGATGGATGAAACTCTATAAGTGGGACAAACCACCTACCAAGTGGTGCAGGATTTTGCCCGTCCACATATTCCCCTTTGGGGCGGTTCAAGCATTCGGGCCAATGTGGATTGAGTTTCCCTTTGGGGTGGTCTTTGAAGGGGACCGAGAGGGAACCTTGGTTGGTCAAGAACCCTTGCCGGCTGCCCTCTTCTAGTGTGAAGGAGACAATCAAACACTGTACCCAAAGTGATAACGGTGTGTGACTGTCCATAGAGCGTTTCAGATTAGCTGCGTTCATGGGGTTGTCTCTTCGGAACGGTCCGAGGAGTGGTCCCTGCTTTTGACGCATCCTAATTATGCCAGCTCAATACCGGGCGACCGCGTTCAGCCCACGTCAGGAGCCAAGGATGCATCATGCAACATGTCTGGGATACGGTTAGGATAGTAGATGTTGCATTTGATTACTGGCTGCGAGTGAATTAATCACCATAGTGAGTTTGCTCAGGGAATCATCTCAGTTCACTTACGTGTAGGCCGACCCAATCTGAAACTACGATGTTTGGTTAAGGCTCACTTGCGCAAACCGAATCCGGATACCTTTGGTCGCTGAAGGCCCCAAAACCTTGTTGTTTGCAGATCCGTTGGGCAAGTTCCAAAAGAACGGGTCCCAATTTGGATACTCGGGTATATACGTTCCTGAATATATGTTTGGCCCTACGGCTTGCATGGGCCTAAGAGTGTCGTCCTCCAACATATGCTATTATTTTGATATGTTTGGGGTTAAGTCAAGAGGGGTTGCTTCCCTACCACTTGGGTGACTTTGGGGGTAAATGTAGCCAGTCCAAAACCTAATCAATAGTTTGGAAGGGTGTATAGGCCAAGGGCCAGCCTTTGTTCGACTCATTCGGCTCAGCACCTTGCCACATAGCGCTGCCTGCAGGCAGGACGGGAAGGGGAGAAAGGAGTGTGTTCTTCATTTCGAGAATATATATATATATACATATATATTACGTACGTAATCTGGTGGCCCAAGCGGCCAAAGACACCGCAAAGAAGAGGTTCCAAGGCGAATGTATCCCAGCTGACCATTACGTTTCCTTCAATCGGAGACCGTTTCGGAGACCGTTTCGGTTCCATTGTGTAAACACCAACAACAGCAAGGTAGTTTCCAGCTTTGGACACCACCAGATTCATTGTGTGAACAAGGTGACACTCACCAAAAAGACAGGACATGGGGGGCGCAAGGAATATCGACTCTGGATCACCTGGTGCGACATGACGCTGTGCTTCAGTGTCCACAGGCCGATGATTCAGTTTTTGGACCTAGAGTTATTTGGGTATTCAATATCAATCCTCAACCTGAGCCTCAACCCTTTTGCCTGGTTGCAATGGTGTCGGAAAAATCATGTTGCTGTGGAACGGTTTAAAAACAGGCACGCCCCTGTCCCCATGAACTACCTCTACGCATAACGTATTTGTTTGCAGGGGGTCCCTCAATTTGGTCATGCGAGCGGCAGGCACTAAGACCGTCGCCAAAAGGCGCGGCGGCAGCCGAGGCGCGCTTGGACAGTCAGCATAGTCAGCGTTGGGCTACCAGGCATGTCGCAATAGAGACAGCTGGAATGTATTTGTTGACACATTGACACTCCTACTCTTTTCTCCGCAAATATAGTGATATATATATATATATATATATTTATGTGAATAGATAGATCTGGGATAGATCGGGCAACAGCTGACGTTCAATGAAGCGGAAACGTGCAATGTGTCGCAATCACTTGTTCAGACGAAATTGCAACAGTTCATTCGCAGCTTTCAACTTGTGTAAGGGCAGTGCAACCGAGATGTGAATTTGGAATGCTTAGGCACGCACAAATTGCGCTGTATGGCCCGGATTTAGTTGTTCATGTTTTTTGTGCAGGCTCGAAGCAGTGAATCGTGAGATTCAAAGCGATTGAGCGGTTGGCCTTTGCTGAGGATATTTCTCCGTTGAACTTGTTGAATTTATGGCTTATGATGACCCGGCAATTTGCAATGAAGATTCACGACAATGCGGATAATAAGCCCATCACTTGAGAAGTGTTGTGCTGATTTCATTGGTGTCCTCCATGTTTGTTCAGTAGCAACACAAGCGCGTGCTTAGTTATTAATTAAGTCGCATACACAACTACAACAAATCCTCGTCAGCATTGGTTGTTAAAGTAGACCTGGCTATCGTTTGCAGAGGGTGGCTGTTCAAGCAATCAATCATTGCGAGGATGCAGCAACTTCAGCCGTGCCGAATTGGAAGTCCAAGCAGAGATGTTGCTTTAAGGGTGCAAGGCATACACTCAAAGACTCACACGGGTGTCTCCA